GGTGCTGCCCACAGGGTTCGCTTGCCTCTAGTTCATGTTTTGTCAGTTTCTGAGCTAGAAATTCATCAGAGCTCATCCTACAGCTCTGTCTGACTGAGAACATCTATAAGCATGGATAAGTCAGTTTAAACTACTTTTATCTAAATATATATTCATACATTAATGAAACATGCTTTTTAAAAACCAACATGATGAAGGACCATATTTTTAACAAGCAGAAGATGAGACATCAGCCATCTGGTTTAATCATCTCTCCTCGTTACCAGGATGTGAACAGCTGCGAGATCCAGAAGACAAACTGCACATGGCTCATGGTCACGCACGAAACGTGTGGCAAAGATGACGTGGTAAGAGGACAATATTTATTTATTGCAGTGTTCCTAATGTCGTGGAAAACATGCCATGTGAAATATAAATAAATTTTGAGGTTTTTTTCTTTCCTATTTCTGAGATGAATTGACACTGTAATTTCAAAATAAACGTTTCTCTAAGCATTCAACTTAATATATTTTGAAGCTGTGTTTTGAAGATAGTGCTTTTAAGCTTAATTCCAAATTCTTTACATAGTTGTAAATGCAAGTAATGTGAAACTTGAGTAATTTCTTACTGTCTGGAGACATGTAATCTCCACATCACAATAGCTCAACAAGAAGTCAGTAATCTGTATTGCTTCTGTAGAAGAAGACTCTCCTTAAAAATTATTTCTGAAAACCTAAGATACGGTGATTCTCATTTTTTTCAAAGCCCTATCCTTTCCTGGAAATTATGCTTTTCTAAGCAAGTGTTCTTCCTTTCCTGAAAGTTTACTGCTAGTATAACAACATAGTTTTCATTTCTGCAGCTTTTTATTTGCTCTTTGTTCCCCTTTCTTGCTGGATTTCCAGCAAGATATCAACTGGAGAATAAATTTGATTAAAAAGCCTTCCTGTCCAAAAGAAACATAATAGTAATTTCTGTAGAATGCTTGGTGGTCTTTGGAGAGCGATGACCTGGGCCAAAGAAAAGCAGCACATCTCTTGTTAAACCACAGCAGCAATTGCTGCAGGAAGCCGGTGTTTGCTGGAGAAGTGCTGTGCCGGGCAGTGTCTGACAGTGCTCACAGGCTGCATTCCCGCAGGATGCAGTGCAGGCCACAGACATCAGTAAATCTGTTGTGTTGTCCTCATTAACTCTTTCGTAAGCTGTTCATATTTCATAAGCGTATGTTCTTTTGTTTCCATTAAATGTAATGTCAGGGAAGCATGCCAGTGAGTGTGTTCATTTTGTGCAGAGTAGCTCCTTCAGACAGCTGAAACTGCCTGGAATTAAAAATTATCCTGAGCCCACCTTGCTGTGATAACAGCCTCTCATTTACAAACAGACACATGAAACTAGAGTAACACTGAATCTTTTAAATGCTACTTTTAATTTAGTATCTTAAATTCCCCTGAATTTAAAAAAAAAAAGTGGGGTTTTGGTTTTGTTCTTGTACGCTTTCAAAATAGCCTTCTCTATGCATAAATCTCTTTGCTTTGTCTGTCCCAGGAAAGAAGCAGCTAGAAGGTTAAAATTCTCTTAATCCATAGCTTTATAGATAAACCTCACCAATATCACACTCTGATGGCAGCAACAGGGTGTCGTCTGCTATAACTGGGTGTCCTCTGTTATAACTGGGTCTCCTTTGCCGTAACTCAGTCTCGCTCAGCACCTGGCCACAATGGACACCAGTGGTTTTCCTGGACCCTGTGTCACTCCGATGGCTGAGGCAGTGCTGTATTTCTGTACAATGCTGCATTATGCGATGCCGATCGTCTCTGTTTCTCATCAGCTTCAGCACAGCTGTGGTTACTTGGGCATTTTTTAAAATCTGGCACACAAATTACAAACTTAGCCATTCAGAAAGACCTGCTTAACTTAAAATAAGAGCATTTATGGAGGAGATGCTGCATAAATATGTTTAAATACTTTTCAGTGTTTAGAGAAGAGAGTGATCCTTCAGCAGTTTTCTTTTATACCACTGTCTTTAAAAAGCATATGAATTTGATTATTTCCTGATGATTTTATTGAGTATTTTCATTTTACAAGAAAGATGAGAAGGGCTAGACAAAACAAAAAGTATGGGAAAACAGCTGAACTTTATCAGTGTAGCAAATTTCTTAGTGCTGTGAATTAAGCAAGTGAAGGCAAGCAAGGATAGGGGAATAGTTCTTATAATTAAATAGTCATAGATGAAGTAAGTAATATAACTGCCTCAAAGCAACCTTTCTGAATGGAAAAAAGTAACATGAGCCCCTAAGATTGCTCTGCAAAAAGACAGCAGAGTAAAAGGAGAGACATTGTAGCAATTAGCCGTGCAGAATCTCATAGAGCTTTCAGGAAAAATTGCCACTGAACTGAGTGGTCTGAAGGTGATTTTTTGAATTTTATAATTACAAAGTTACTTCCATCTTTTTTTTTTTCTTTTCTTGTGGGTTTATGCCTCTAATTTCAACCTCTGAAATTTTTGTAAGTCTTACACAGTAGGCTATTCATTAATAATTAAACTAGGATTAAAATGTGATTAAGCATGTTAGGCCATGAATTTAA